CAAACTTCTTTCCATATGGATGTGGTACACTTAGAGTAAAAGCAGTCGCCAATTACCCACCATGATTATCATCTTCTTCTTCTTTCTTATCTCCACTCACACTAAGGTAGGTATCAAGCTTGTAAATCTTGAGACTTTTGATGGTGTCTGCCGGGGATGAGTAGAGCTCATCAATGGATGAGTCAATACAGATGATTATCATGGCTTGTACCATGTGTAGTTTAAGAAAATAGTTTAAATTTTGCGCTCTTACAAGGCACCAAAGCCCCATTTGGTTGCTTGTAATTACTAGTGAGGTTGAACTTGTGCAAGAATAAGCATTGAATCAATTTTGCCTTCAGGAAAAGCTGCTCAATACAGTAGAAGAATTCAATCCCAATTCATTGTTGTTGGAACTCAGCACAATCCTCAACCTGTTGTTCCATCAATGGAAGCAGTGGAAAGTTGCGATAGCCAGCACTTTCTCTATTTGTGGAATGTTTGCTGCTACGACACTCCTCCGAGGTCAGCCAATCTTTTATTGGCCCACTTGGAATAAAGAAGTTTCTTTTACCTTGCAATTAAAGTAGGAGATTAAACAAAATTAATTAGTAGGATAGAATCCACAAGCGCAATAAAAGTTGACTCATATATCTAACTTCGTATATTTATAGAATGTTTGTACCCAGCATATATAGGACCTCATCAACTCTACACCTCATAGAATTCATCACCCTAGAGGAGAGGTTTGGGACTAGATTGCTTTATGAACTTTTGAATCTCTTTGGAAATTTTTATTTATTTATTATTTTATCCCTAGTACACGTGGTACAGGCCATGATAATCATGCTGGGTAGTTAGCGACTGCTTTTACTGTAAGCGCACCACATGTCTACAAAACGTCAGACACTTTATTTATTTGGATTACAGTAGAACACACTCCCGTCAGAAGACACTTCTCCACAAAGGACAGCGCAGACATGTGGGGGAACTTACAGTTAAGCGCAGTTGCCATTACCTTACCATGGAGGTTCTATTGTACATACTGTACTCCTCTGATACAATATATCTCAATAATAATGATTTATTATAAACACAAGGTAATAAGACCAAATAAATAAGTAGGGTCTGATGATGGTAACAACACTGTTACCAAAATGTCACACATTATTAATTTAATTAGATTTGGTCTTATTACCTTGTGTTTATCTGGTCATCTACGGACAATGACTTTCCAGAATGGTTGCAAGGTTTTCCCACCATGTACTAAGTGTCAACCAGCAACCCCAAAACACATTATTGACTGTATTCACTCATCCATTGATGAGCTCTACTCATCCCCAGCAGATACCATCAACAAGCTTTACAAGCTTAATACCTTAATATGATTGAGTGGAGATAAGAAAGAAGAAGAAGACCTTGTAAACACAAGGTAATAAGACCAAATCCAGATAGTGTGTGACGTTTCGGTAACAGCGTTGTTACCATCTTCAGGCAAAAGTACTGAATGATAAATTTTACCACAGCATGTTTTAAATAGTTACTGTTATCAAGTGTGTAAACAAGATACCAGATAAGAAGAAGATAGTTATCTGAGAAACACAGAATATTATTCTTAGAATTAAAAGTGGAAAATAATCCAAATTGTGCCTTATCAAGAAGACCATGTGTTTATAATCTACTAGACGGGTGACCCGGGCTTCGCCCCGGGATTGACCCGTGTGCATATCTACCCGAGTGATATATATTTAGATAAGATTTTTTTTTATAATTGTTTGTTATTAGCATTATCTATTTGTTTGCATCAGCATAATTTAATCTAATCTTTGATAGAGGGCACTATTTGTGAGTTAAGTAGAATAATTTGAATATATAGTTTTAATAATTGATTTATATATTTTTTAAAATAGCCTATCGTCTTCCCCATATTTTTTTTACCTATGTATGGAAATTTTGGTTTGAATTTGTGAACTACTGCGAATTTGGATACCGGACAAACAAACATTGATTTTTATATATAATAGATATTTCAAAGTGTGCTGCCTTATCAATTATTTATTATATAAATATATTGAATATTTATCATGTAAACTTCTGTGAGAAACCTCTCTCTCTAACACTCCTCTGATATAAACTCATTAAAATAATTAGTGTGCTATTACCACCAGACTTTGATACATGTTACATGTCTTTATCTTGCTCTTGCAATGATTAGTTATTAAATACATAAATAATTCATTAACATTGGCAATAATTGTGTCCCACCATCAAGTACAACAGCAGCATTGATAAGGCACAATTTGGATTATAGATTATAACACAAGGTGATAAGACCAAATCTAAATAAATAAATAGTGTGTGATGTTTCAGTAACAGCGTTGTTACCATCTTCAGACATTATTCACAATTCAGTACTTTTGTCTGAAGATGGTAACAACCCTGTTACCGAAACGTCACACACTATTTATTTATTTGGTCTTATTACCTTGAAGTACAACAGCAGAGTGCAAATACAGGAAATAATTTAGAATAATTCCCAAATTTTGGCTAGATGTAATTAAAAAAATCATTTATAATACAAGGTAATAAGGCCAAATCTAAATAAATAGTATGTGAAGTTTCAGTAACCAACTTTCCTTTGTTGAGGGGTGTCCTCTCATGGAGGTTCTACTGTATTATTGTCTTTCAATTTTTTTTTAAATTCATAATCCAAGTTATATCTATCCCTCACAGTGAATTAAATGTAATGTTTTTTTTTTTTTATTATCCCTAGTACATGTGGTACAGGCCATGATAATCATGGTGGGTAGTTAGTGACTGCTTTTACTGTAAGTGAACCACATGTTTACACACATGAAAAAGCAGTCCAACTATTAAATATAATGAAATAACATGCCATCTGAAAATGAAAAAAAAAAAAAGAATGCCATCAGAGTAAGAGGCAGTTGAAACTAGTTTTATTTATTAAGATCCACAAGTCCAACCCCTCCTCTACATGGCAGGCGGGAGAAGCATCACAAGTAAATAAGCGACTGCCCTGTATAGTGTAGTACGGTGTCGTGAGCCGCTACGGTAACCGTGAAGGCCTACAGGGAACTCTGAAATGTGGCTGACTAACGGGGCAATGGTACCCCCTCATTCCATGGAGTGGACAAGGCACCACAACCATTTATTAAGATAAAAATTTGTGCTTAAATTCATTGTTAATAATTTATCACGTGATAAATTCTTTAAAAATATATTCTAGGGCGTGACGAGGTTCAGCCTACAAGGCAGGAATTGTGGGATTTTATAAAATTGTGGGATCTTAGTACCACATTCTATGGGTAAATATCACAAGGCCAGCATTCAGATCAAATATTTATAAGGAGCTTGTGTCTGATGATTATCATAACTTAGTGTTGGCAATGGATCATGTCAAACAGGTTAAACTCTGGAAACTCTCCAAACTTTGTGAAAATTTTAGTTGAGCCTTATAGAGAGAGGGAGATATAAACAGTGTGTCAGGTTTGTGGATTATTCTTTCTCTCCACACAACTCTTAGGACAACAAATCATCGCAAAGTAGACTATTTTAGTGCTAGGTTTATTTTTCCAAACAATTTCC